GTAAAATTATCAATACACCCTCATCTTCTTGCTTTCTTTCTTTACTTTTTCTCTTACCCTCCTTGCTCCATATCCGGGAGAAAGAAATGCAGCTAATATCTAATCTTTTATCAAAACTAAAATTACTTGACATTCTTATTCCTCTTGAAACAAGAAATTAAATAGAAAAGAATTAATGTAAAACTAGGGCTAAAATTATATCATATTTAAGACCCATAAAATAAATGGAACAAACCTTCACCCTCACCTGTTGTACTGTTCTTTGATTATGATTTTATAATGTGGGCACACAAAGTTCATAATCAATTCCAACGAAGACCAAGAAACTCGTGTGGTCCAAGTGACCATTTAACAATTGGTTAAAGGGTATCTTATTTTGGGTGTGATGTTCAATTTTCATCCCTTCCCGCATTCTCCTGTTATGACTGCAGTCACTGTTGTCCAAAAGGACAGTAGGTGGATTGCAGTTTTATTCAAGTTCAATATCTTTTATTAACAATTCTAACTTTACTAAACTCTAACTATTGCTCTTGTCAAAAAAAAAAATTAAAAAAAAAAAAGTTAAATTCCAACGAAGACCACCCTTGTAGGAATCCCATAAACTCACCGTCACAATTTGAAAATTGTAAACCCCTTTTATCCTTGTTAGGTGATTTTATTTGGCAAATCTCTTATTTACATCTCTAATAGTATTTATTTTTGTGATTAATATAAAGAATAAATTACTTAAATCGTGGCATTTAAAAATTTTTATGTTAGTTTTTTCATTTAAAGACAGACATGAGAAAATGAAAAATTTTCAAAAAGCTTACCATTCGATCCTTTTCTCATCGTTCTTGTTACTGTCTAAAGATTCTTCATGCAGTTTCCACCACTAACCAAATTTGATCTCTTTGCTCATCGTCCATGTCAGCACCTGACACTCGCGCCTATCGTTTTGCCACGTTGTCATTAAGTAGCGGCGTTTTAATTAATTCCAAAATCGAGAATAGGTAAATACTAAGGTAAAACTCTCAAATTCATCTTAAAAAAATATCAGTAAGGATATATTCGTCCCTAAAAAAAAAGCAGAGACAAGTTGTCCCTCCAAATCATAAATTAATATAAATCACCATTTTTTCAACGTTTTCCATTAAAATATGCTAGCATGACAAATAGAATTCTGACGTTTTTCATTGAAAAAGAGGTGATTTGTATTAATTTATAATTTGAAGGGGCAATTTATCCTCTTTTTTTTTTTAGGGGTGAATGTGTCCCGATATTTTTTTAGGGTGAATTTGAGGGTTTTGCAAATAGCAGACCCAGTTGTTGCCATACAGAAAATTAAATCCTAAAAGGTGGTTCAAGAATTAAGATTTTAAAATTTTAAATTTTCGAATCTTAACTTAGATGGGAATGTGTTTAAGAAAAAGGAAAATTTATTTTTTTATATAATTTATTCAAATATATAAAAAAAAAATTGTCATACGAAATTTTTTTTATAATTTTTTAATGAATTTGTCTATTTTTTTATTAAAGTATAAATTAAAAATATAATAAATATATTTTTATATAATTAATTTATATAAAAAATTATAAAAATTAACATATATTTTAATATTATTAACATACAAATAATTTTAATTAATTAATTAATTAAATTAAAATTTATATTTATATTTTTAATAAAAATTTATTATAAAAAAAATATATTTATTCTACTATGATTCTATACTTTTTTAAGAGTATGATAGAGAAGCCCTTTCTCTTTCATCCATCCTATTCATACCAACATGCCAAAATCATCTTCATCCCAACAAGTAATGCTAGATGCCGCGGACTCCGACTTGCCTCGCATCTGTCGATTTTCGACCACTACTTTTGGGGTGATCGTTATATATTGTGAACTAAACTTTTGTTAAGATTATTAATTTAATTGTAATTTTATTAATTGATAATTTTATAAAGAATTAATTATAATATTTAAAAAGATATGTTTATAAATTAATTTTAATTTATTAGATAATAAATATTAATTATTTTATTAATAATTAATTATTTTTAAGAATTAAATTAAAATAAAAATTTAATCATTTTTATTAACCTTAACATTTTTA